CTGCATTGGAGAGCCACCCTCCTGCAGCAGTGCAGGCAGATAGTGAGGCAAAAATGCAGGCAAATAGTCCGTCTGGATCCTGAAGTGAGAAAATAACAGTACGTGGCAAGGGGAGGAATGAAGAGTTACTTTCTTGTCTTTGTATAGCAGGAACTAAGGCACAAGAGGTTATCCCAAACCAGGATTCAAAGGTGTAAGATAGTCCTGAAAGCACGTGTAGAGAAGTGTCTTGCTTTTGATGTAATCCCGTGTCTTGAACTCAAATTGCTTGCCCAGAATAGCACAGGACCTGTTTCAAAGCCAGAAACTGAATCTAGACCCTGAGCCGTTGTCTCATATCGCTGTCCGAATACCTGCATTCCCCTTACTTCTTTGTTTTTTTTTCCCCTTCATGTTAAGGATCTTCCTTCCAAGTTCTCTCTTCCTCTCATTTGAAAATACTTAGCCCGAAAAAACCTTTTACTGACAACCCACTGGAGAAACAGACCTTAAATTAGATAATTTCTGGACTTTTACTGTCACCTGGACAGTTGCTGAAAACTACCTCTGTCATCCCCTTCATTTAGACTGCAAACACATTGAGACAAACCATTTTTTTTGAAGTATTCTTTACAATGCCAAAAATAGGCTTAGTTATAAATAAGGATGTAGCCAAAATTTCTGCTTATTTTACTCTTCCTGTAGTCAGTTCTGGACTGAGGAATGGTCCGTATACAGCACAAAATACAGATTGTCTGAGCTGCATCTTAGCAGATAAATGCTTTACGCTTAAAAAGTTTGCAGCTGTCATTTAAAATAAACAGACACACCAGAAGGAGAAGTACTGTTTTGGGAAAAATTCTGTTGTTCAGCCTGGCTGAACTTGTGGCCTCCTAGCTCTATTACAGCAGTTGCAAATAACAAAGGGACAAAACTTATTTAGAGTTTGTGTTGTTTACAAGACTCATGCCGTTTTGCTGAGCTTACTCTGTTTTCTGATTCAGAGAGCACTCCTTTTCTGTGTTGTCTTCATCTGGCAAACAAAGACAGCAGGAACTGAAATAAAGAATGAAATTCTGGATGTATGCACTCTGATCTGTAGGACTGCTTCTGTTGACTTCAAGGGATTTTGGCTATGTCTCTCTGTCCTGCCAGAGTATTTTCTTTGTCAGATGGGAAAGTCTGTCTTAAGTGTTTACTGGTTTTCTAGGAAAAATAGAAAGCTGAGCTCCTGACTGGCATCAGCCTGTGCAAATACCAAATTGTCACTAGTTTTAGCACACTTTCCTCGCAGGGAGTGACTTCAGCTTAAACAGCCCAGAGGTCAAGGGTTTAGCTCACTGTTTGTCTAGTCCATTAAAAGAGCTGCTGTGGTCACTGTCTGAAACAGCTGAGTAAGTGTTCCCATACAGGGGGATCTGTACTAACAGCATCACATAATGAAGCAGGGTGTTACTGAGGCCTGCACAAGAGGTGTTGCTTGTTCTTTTGTGTAATTGTTGCTAATTTTCAGTTGGTTTATTTAAATTTGGCAGATGGAAGCTGAAGAAGAAGGGGCAAAAAAACTGTCGGAAGTAAACTTTGAAAACTTACCTCCCAACTACCATAATGAGTCCAACACGGAAACCAGAATCGGTAATAAAACAGTTCAGACTCATCAAGAAATTGATAAGGTATGAGAAAACATATGTAGGAAACTGCTACTTTTCTTTAATAATAAAATCAATTTTGCACGTTTTGGGGCGAAATAAGACAATTTGGAGCATAAACTGATGATAATTACTTTGGGGTTTTATTGTATCTTGCTTGCCTAATCACTGTGTAGGGGCACATGTCATGAAAGCTTAATGTGAAATAATAATTTATTTTGAAAAAAGTGCCTACTAAAAATAGAACACAGGCACAGCTATTACATGGATCATAAAAGAATGACTGTCTCCTGCTCAGTTAGCTTCATTACAGTGACGTTTTAAATAGATAAGGAGGTAGCCTTGTCATCTACTTTTTCTTCCCACATTAGGATTTTATATGAGTGACAGCAAAATGGGGAAAAAAGGAAAGGGTGGGTTAATTATTGTGGAATGTAGGACTGAGAGTAACAAAGGACTAATAAAAAAATGTAGTTTGATATTTTGTTCTTCTTTTGCTGTGTCAGGTTACAGATAACAAAACTGGATCAACAGTTTTCTCTGAGACAGTTATTACATCTATAAAAGATGGAGCAAACAAAAGAAATCATGTAAGTGAACGCATTTTTTCCTTTTGAAAATTAAACAAATAGTTTGAGTTCATCATTCAGAAGAAGGTGATACATTTCACCTAGCGAAATTTCTGAATGCTCAAAACCCCACAAAACCACTAGGGGTAAGCAGTCAAAAATGTTTTTGTTTTTTAATTAATTTAACTTCGGAATATTATGTTATGAATTAGAAATGGAGTTTCAATGTTGTGGTTAACCAAGGTGCTTGATCTGAATATTCAATTTGTCTGTCAAATGTAAATGTTGTACTCAAATAGGAAAGATAGTTACACAGCCCTTTCCAATGAGTGTGAATAAACCCTTAGTATAGCAGTGCTTCACGTATGTCCTCTCTGTGCTCTTGCATTTCATAAAAAAATTGCTTTATAGACTTTTAACACTAGAAAATAACCCCCAAATTGTCTATCATGAGGAGTCTGTTGAACTATATATGGCTCTATTTGCTTTTCAGCCTAACCTAGTGATGGACAACCGGTTGTGAAATGTCACTTCAGGGAGGGGGATAGGGGTGGGACAATAAATCTCCCTCCCCTCTGGAAATACAGTTGTTTGATTCTCAAAGAAGATAAGAGACCAAGAATATTCTTTACCTCAGTCTTGCAAACACAGGCATATTTGCTAAACATCAGTAGTCCCATGAGAAATTCAGCACGTACCCCTACTTAGAACAACTGTTAGGTTTTCTTCGGTTATAGTCTTACCAAAATGGACTTTTTTTATGCTCTTACTAAGACAGGACTTGCAATATTTCCTCTTATAGCTGGCTTCATCTGACTAATAGTTTGTGGTTTAATTTAGTTTAATATGCCCTGACTTTTTTAGAGCAACTTTATTCCAGTTCTTTCACAGAAGCAGCTCTTTAACTATTCTATAAAACATTAAAAAAAAGAAAAATTATATTTGTAGTTCATATTTTTAATGGGCATAAAACCTGAAATTAGTGTATCTTTTCTGCTGTCATCCTCTCACTAAGTTTTCTCTTTCAGCTTGTATTTTTATACTGCTATTGAAGTTTGAGAATGGCAAGAAGCAAAATAAAATTGCTTGTGTATGCTATACATTTTTTTTGCTGTTTTGCAAAGCTTATAGATTAAGTGGTAAGTCAAGGTACAAAATAAATTGCACCTATTCTAAGCTACAACTTGGTTTTATACAAAGTGTTAACATATTCCACAATGCTTTTTAATAATGAGATACACGTAATGAAGGCAATCCAAATGTCTTTTTCAAGCAAATATGGTCATCATCTTCAAACTGAGTGTACAAAGGCAAACTTTACAACCTTCTTAGCACTGGGACGCAACACTGGTGTTGCTTCACAATGTATTTGGCTTGCTTGCAGTGTCCAATCATTCTTCACAGCTGTAAAAAATATTTCTAAATTAGCTTTCTCCAGCAATCATACAAAGTTCCTTATAAGCTTCATATATCAAGTGACGTCTGCATTTTCCTTATGGGAAGGTTTCCTCGCTTACCAAGCCAGAGCTACTTCCAGAACCAATACCATTATTAGTCTTCCAGCTAAAGAATTTGAGGGCTAAATACAAATTTTTGTCAAACTTCGTGGTGGCAGTCTTTATTCAGAACTGATCACATCAACTCCTAATCGTTTAAATCATGAGCCACTTTATTCATCAGCATCCTTACTGCAGCAGCTGCTGAAACAAAACTACATTTGTTAACATTTATTTCCCCTCTCACACTCCTTTTGATCTTTCAGCATGCCCATGGTACAAACACCTTATTTAGAGGTTGCCAAGTTGGAGAAAAAGCTAAATGGGAAAAGCAACCAACAGACATATTTGGTTGTTATTTAAGGAGAGCAGGCAAACATGCATATATTAATTTGACTAAGAGATACATAACAGAAGTAAATCTGAAAATCCTTGAAAACTTTAAACATTAAGGAGGAATATGAATTACTTAAGGTACTACAAGGATGAAGAACTATTGCAGGAGTAATGGCATGAGATTGAGAATTGGAAAATTTGGGTTACAGCAAGAAAAACATGCTGCCAAGGAGAGATCTACCAAGTGGAGGGAAAATTTTGTCCAAATTAAAAAGCAGTATTGCTTAGATCTGTAAACTTAAACGTATTGGGAAAATGAGTTGCAGAAAACTTTGCACTGGCCTCGTAAGTAATTTTTATAGACATAAGTTTTCATACTTGAAGTGTCACGGGACATTGTGGGATGTCCCACTCCCTTTCCAGGCTGCAGGCTTCACAGACCACTGGAGGGTGGAAGAGTAATTCTGCTTCTTTGCTACTTATTTTAGATGTTAGCAACACAGTAATACATATATAGGTTTTGTAATCTCCAGGCAGTTAAAAGTGGAAACCTTTTGAAGTCTGTTTGCCAATTCTCTCAGTGCATCTCTAAATACAGCTAGTATATGCTCTTCTGTAATACATATCCCAAATACCCATTAGTGATTCGTCGTGCTGCGTAGCATAACGCAACAAGAGGTTTGTATAATTGTAGCTATAAGTATTGACAGTCATTTGAAAAGGGCAATAGTGACATTTTGTTCTGGGGATGAAGATTTGGTAGCAGAGGCTGTAGGGAGCCAACCATTGGGAACAGGACCTCTGTTCTGATGCTACTCCCATAGCCTTCAGATTGATGCCTCATTAGAACAGCACCTTTATTTTTATTTTCAATCTGCCAAGTAAAAGAAATAGGCACAAGTGTCACACAAGCTCAACTTTCATGCTTGTAGAGAAACTGAATGCTGAAAACTAAATCTGCTTCATAGGTTCAGTTTATTGGCTTAGCTTATAAAAGTTAAGGATTCCCACAGCTCCTGCACTTTAGGTACAAAATTGGATGGTAAATATCAGAATTCATCAAACACCTTAGCAAACCACCTGCTCTGGAATGTAAACTCTATATAATTTATCACTGAAGTAGTTAGTAATAACTGGAACCCTACAACCCTCTGTTCACATTTATTCTCAGAGCTGAGTTAAAAGGCACTGAAATTGCTGACAGTTTTTCCAGTGACATTTTTGAGCTTTGAGACATGACACAAAAGCCTCAGAGGTAGGCAAAGATGTGTCTTGCGACGGGTCTGTGTTGCAATAATAAATCCACATACTGGCTGGAGTGAAATTCGGCACTGGAGAAGCAGCTTTGTGGAAAATAGGTTATGTCTGCTTTATAAATCATAGTGCCTGTGGCACTCCTATGTCCTCCTGCAAACAGGTACAATACACATATATACAATGCATATAAATGTATATAAGTATATACACATGCATGCAGTGTAGATCCACTGTTACAGAAACATGAGGCATAATCTTACACACACACACACACTTTTGCCTCTCAAGCAGTATTTCTTCTTGGCTTTGCATCACAAAAGTATTCTCTTTAGACTGTGTTCTTTGTTCCTGAATGGCTCACTTGACAGTATTTTGATGGCCAGAAGACTATCTGTATTTTAAGTCTCCAGAAGAGGAACTGGGCTGCTTGCCATTTCTGGCAATGCAATCCAGTTCTTCAGAGGTGCTGCATTATTTGGAGGCGCCATTTGCATTCCCAGACTAACATTCACTTTCTCGGATGTCAGTGAGGACTGACAGTCACCAGCATAGATGTCAGGCTTTGATCCAACAGTCTTGTATCTTTAAAGAGGCTGAATGCAGGCAAGAGGTAGCTGGATGTGCATGTTTTTGTGTCTGTGCAGGATTTTACATCCACTTCCTCCTGGGTTTAAGGCTCAAATACTCTTATCATTTACTTCTCCAGGGAACGTTGGTTGGCCTGCAAATTAATAGAGTGTTCCAGTAGTAAGCTTACTTATAGAACACAGATAAAGTAACAGCACTCTTTATTACCATATGAAAATCAAAATCTCTTCTAGCTTGTTGACTAGTCCTATTTCAATTGTGATACCTAACCAATGAAAAGGAAGCATGAAAAAATAAAAGGAAACAAAACTGTTACTGATCAAATTTGCTGCACAAAGATTAGTTGCACCTCTTCTCAATTGCGTTCAGAGTATTATTTTATATGAGCTCCCTCTTCTAATTCAAAGCTATTGTACCGAAGATTTTTTTCCTGTCTGTATTAATTTGGTGAATAAAAATAGCAACAGCTTCTTTTTAGCAAGTTTGTTTTTCTTTTCTTCAAACTTTACTAGAAGTACGTCTTCTTGCTTTCAATTATCTTTCTTGACAGAGATTTTTAAAGATGCTTACATCTAGGGAGAGTGTACCAGGGAACTGGAAGAGC